ATAAAAAATAGAATAAATTAAATAAGAGAAAAATTTGAAAGAGATATTTGTGCAGAATATTTAAATTCTTTTTGAAATAAAAAAAGACACAAGAAATCACGGGTGAAAAATAAATATGACAAAAGAAGAAAAATAAAAAGCAACAGAAAAACAAGAGTTGAATCTTGTCAAAAAATAATTTAAGCACAAAAAAATAAAAGGTAATTACGTGAGGCAAATCAAAAGAGCTAATTTAACCATGATTTTTCTAAACTTCTATAAAATTAGAAGACTTTTGATTTTGCAGGCATTGAGTTAAATGACCCCTTATCTATCTCTTAATATAAACCTCTCTTCACTTGTAATATTACAAGATATGTATGTGTATCTATACATACATAAATACAACTTGGTTAAATAAATGGAAATGAAAATAAATTGAAATTTAAATAAAAAGAACATCATAAAATTGGTAAAACAAAAATATATTTTTTCCTATTGAAAATACTTTAATCTAATTTTGAAAACACAAAAATTAAACTTGTCATGAAATTTAATTTTAAAAGCATAAGAAATATCACTATAAAAAATTATAAAAATGCTGACAATTAGCGAAGACACTAAAAAGTCGCCGCTTGTAAAGGGTGTCCTAAATTAGGACTTAATCATCATACTAACCATCACACTAACCATGGTTAATCAAGAACTAACCCAAATGGATTATCCATTACGAGATTAACCTAAATGAATTCTTAACATGTATTTTTCACAAATTATTTAATACAAAGGGATCCAAAGTCTTTAAAATATTTTAAGAACTCATATCATTTAATTAAACATATGTGGAAGCATGATAATAACTATTTTTACTTGCACAAATATTTTGGCCCGTAATTATAGCACAAGCATCAAACCACATTCCCCAGGCCTAAAATACATTTTCCCCAACACAAAACCCATAATGCAAGTGATCAAGAATATATTATCCTAGTTGACAATATCATAAACTAAATACACATATCAAATAAAAGGAGAGAGGCCTACAGAAGTGATTATTATCACTTGGCCTAATGCTTCTTTCTTCTATTCTTCTCAGATGAGCTAGCTCCTGTAATATGTTAAAAGAGAGGAGTGAGTATATCTAAGTTATATAAATGCATGATAATTAATCATGAATGCAAGTGACCAATAAATTTATCAAGGTGACCATTCAAACAATCACATTAATAACATGTTAATCACATTAACATTTAACTCATGTGAATAATTTCAAGAATAAAGTCAAGTATAAAATTTGCACAAATAGCCACATATACATTATTCACATAATTACTGCATCTTCTCATTTCTACAATTATAATCATATTCTCAACATAGCCATCAATCACTCAAATGGCATGATAGTAATAATATGCATGATCAATCTCTTCCTTATATCCCCCCTTATTTCCTCTGACATGAAATCCGTGGGCCAACAACCGGAAGGGATCGTCCATGTGGTGAGACTACCCAAAGCCTTAATTATATCATGAGGGGCTACCGGGTCAGGGTTACCTTACTCACTTATGAACACAGTTTCCCTCAAATCACACACTATGGGGTGTCATATCCAAAACTAGCTCTACCTAAAACTCCAGGTAGGCCAGTAGGGTCAAGTCCCTTAATAGGAACAATGCTACAGTACATTACAAGGTAAGTAGCGACTATAACCCCTAGGATTATTGGTTAATAGCCAAGTACCATATAGATTTTGCATAACCGCTAACTCCTTCATAAGGCGAACTGCCGCCATATGATCATGCTCATGAGAAAATGTATTTCAAAAACTCATATATATAATTCAAAATTATCCCACATGCTCATCAACTTTCTTGCTCAACAAACATCAAGAATCATCATATTTCAATCATGCCTCTTGCATCAATTTTTTTTATTATCATACAAAACCACATTAGCATCATGTAAAACTCAACATGCTCATACCATTCATCATTGTGCATAATCCACGACTTATATCCAAGAGTGTACATATAATCATCAACCATCAATCTCATTACTCACACAAGTCATAATTAACTTGGTCACAAGTCATATAATCTCAATAAAGCCACATGTATTACAAACAATCATTTCAAAATTTAGACACACACACACATATATATACATTCTTTTATTTCACTAAATAATTAATTAAGTAACATACAAATGCATAAAATAGATTTCTCCCGGTTACCTCAACCTTTGAGAAGTCAAAGGTTACCCCTCAAGTTACAACACTTCCAAAGCTTTCTAAAGCTTGAATGGTGTCAAAAGAAAATTAATCTACAATTGATCATATCCCAATGTGTCAATAATATTATTAACACACTTTTCACTCATACTCTAACACCTAAGTATTTATTTTATTTTATTTTATATTTATTTTATATATATATATATATATATATTTTAAGAATTTAGTCTTAGTCTCTTGAATTCTAAAATTTAATTTCATGTATTTGAACCTATCTACTTGGTTTAATAGTCTCCTTCACAATAATTTCATTCAAATAATTTTCTAATATCAAAATTTCTCTTTTTATTCCAAAAATTCGACATAAAAATACTCAAAAATTGAAACTTGATTTCAAGTCTAGAATCATTATTCTATAGCCATAATAATTTATTTCTCATCTCAAATAATCATCTAAATATCAACAAATCAATTTATATTTTCAGATTTAACCAAAAATCTACCCATAGGAATCTAGGGATAAACTCAAATGCCTCAAATTCCAATTTATCAATAAAATAATACTCTAGAATATTTATTACACTACTAACAACCTCAAATCCATATTTATTCAATATAAATTCATCCCTCTTCCAAATCTTAAATTTTCTACCGCTACAAAATCAGAAACCAAAGAGAAAAGATGACTAAGAAAAATGTTTAGAACACTTACCTAGTCTTAGAATACTTAAAATCTCATATGAAGTATCCTATTATGGAGCTTCACCTTCTAAATCAGTCAGCCTCTCCGTCAGTGTTGCTCACTCTCTCGCTCGCTCTCTGCCTCAGCTTGCATACAGGGAAGAAATGAAGAAACGAAGGAAAGAGGGTGGTTTTATAAAAAAAATAATGCGGGTCCCACATGTTTTTTTATTGTTTCCTCTCTCTCTCTCTTCTTTTTTTTATTATATATGTACACACATTACACTGAAAGCGTCCCTCTTCCCCATTTTTTTTATTTTTTTTATATATATGTAATCATGGCAGCCGAAAGCATCTCTTCTTCTTCTTTCTTTTTTAATAATAATAATAATAATAATAATAATAATTTAATTTTTTTAATTAATTAATTAATTTTTTTAATTTTAATTTAGAATTATGTTTAGATTTAATAATCATCTCCTACTAATTTGCTCACCTCTAAATATTTTTTAAAATTTTTATTAATCTAAATTAACTATTAAAATTTAAATTGGGATGTTACACCGTTGATTCTCGACTTTCAGTAGCGACTTGTATGTTAAAGTTGAAACTTACAACATAATTTTTTTAAAAAATTATAAAAATGCTGACAATTAGCGAAGACACTAAAAAGTCGCCGTTGATTCTCTACTTTCAGCAGCGACTTGTATGTCAAAGCTGAAACTTACAACATAATTTTTTAAAAAAATTTTAAAAATGCTGACAATCAGTGATGACACTAATCAGCGGCGATACTAAAAAGTCACTGCTAATTCTCAACTTTCAGCGACGACTTGTATGTTGTCGTTGAAACTTACAACACAATTTTCTTAAAAAATTATAACATATTTTAAAATATGTTGACAATCAATGGCGACACTAAAAAGTCGCCGCTGATTCTCAACTTTCAGCGACGATAGTAGATGTCGTTGTTGAAAGTGTGACTTTCTGCGGCGATATGCACTTGTCATCGCTAAAAGTCTACAATCAGTGGCGACATGCACTTGTCATCGCTAAAAGTCTACAATCAGTGGCGACATGCACTTGTCATCGTTAAAAGTCTGACAATCAGCGGTGACTTTATCTTATTGTTGCAGAAAGTCACACTTTCAACGACGACAAGTGCATGTCGCAACAGAAAGTCACACTTTCAGCAATGACTTTTACTGTCGCCGTTGAAAGTTGAGAATTAGCGGTGACTTTTTAGTGTCATTGCTGAAAGTCATTTTTCTTGTAGTGGTAATCATGGGAGAAGACAATGGCTCTATATAAGGTCATGTAAATTAGCTTGAGAAGCGGAGAAGATAGAGATAAAGCCATTACGGGAGAAGACAATGGCTTTGTACAAGCTCACGCAAGTTATATTGCCCAGAACTAAAAATCATTATTATATTACATTTTGCAAGACCAAATTGTTATTTTCCTATTTCAGAAGAATTTATTTGTCATTCTGCCATATTCTAATTTGGCAAACTAAAGTTTAAACAAGTGTGTGCATGTTTGCGTATCCATTTTCGCGAAACGTATTGTTCAATTGACCCTGCGGCGACCCCGTGCGATTCCATTATCACTGTTAAACTGAATTTGAATTTATGTATTTATTGCAGAGTCTCAAAATATGCCGTCTGCTACATCAGTTCACACACGAATATGTATGTATCATATTATCATAAATGTTAAGATGGATCCTCAATATCGTCCCTTAATTTCCCTCGAAAAACACAACTCTAGAATGCGATCACTCTGTTATATTTTGAATCTCAACTAATTTTTATGGTATAATTAACGTTTAAGACAAAGGGGAAAAAAAAATAAAAAGGAACCGAGAGTGGGGGAAACGTGGTAAATGAGTAAAAATTGGGGAGAGAAAATCGAAAGCAAAAGTAGGCGGGACTCGGTTTTCTGATGCGCTTTCACGTTTTTCTCTTTCAGACGCAGCCCATGATGGAGAAGGAAGCCAAGAGTCGTCGGCTGGCACTCTCTTTCATTCGAGTCAACCCACGAAATTTCCTCTCCTTTCCATTTGCGCGTTCTTTTTAAAACCCCCCCCCCCCTTTCATTTCTTTTTGTTTTTATTAATTGCCCACAAATGCATTCTCATGAACGTCATCAATTCATTCACCCATCCTTCAGTCAAATCTGAAAATCGTACTATTCGCCCTTTTTTATTTTAGTTGGTCAAATCTTATGTCCCTGTTCTCTCTTACTCATCATCTTTCTTTTCTTTTCTTCTACTCTGCCTTTGGTATTGGACCTGGATACTCTCCGTAATTAGGTATGTTCTCAACCTTCTTGGACACTGTTGCGATCACTGAATTCTTCAATCCTCTTAGATAGTGTTTTCTTTGGCGGCTTATCATGATTCTCTGGGGAAGAAAAGGGAGGAGTGTTAGATGCCGTTATTTGAACCCAGCTCAATTGCATTTAGATTCAGTTAATTAATTTCTAATATTATTTCATTTTTGCTTGGCTAGTTTCCTGGAGCCATAGCTGCCGCTATGAAATTTCCATCCTTGTGTCAATTAGTATATATGCTGAATTTGTGCAGGCATTGGATTTTTCATTGGCTCGGCCGGAGAATAATGGGAGCCGTTTGCTCGGCCGGGACGGTTGAGAGAAACGAAGAATTTGGAATGAAAAATTTGGGGTTTTCCGGAAAGCTAAAGAAGGAAAAGAGTTTTACTAACCGAGAAGGGGATTCCTCTCCGGCTTCCTGCAAAAAAGATCATCGAAAAAAGCAAAAGAAGAGAGATTCTGATGAGCTATATTTGTCGTTTTCCAGGGAACTGAAGTCATCGACTCCAACTCGAACAGCGGCATGGAAGGTGCGTTTCACTTAGTGGTCATCATGAGCGGTCTATGATGTAAAGTTACGAAATGCTTATCATCATGGCTAGCCAATGTTTTCTGGAACTTAGAAAAAGCTAATAATTCTTCACTATGTAACTGGCTTAATTTGGATTATTGCGGTTAGAAAATTTATGCAATTAATTTTTTTTAAAGTCTAGTTTATTAATTTATTTCACTTAGTGGGATGTAATTTTATGCAATACAAAACATGCTTCCATCCAGCAAATATATGATTGAATTTGGGAGCTGATTGAATACCCCGGTAATAATTCATTTATATCTATGTTTTGGTGGGTCATGTATGTCCATGTTACTCTTACCCTATTCAAGCAATAGTCTGCCTATACCTCAGATTTGAGAAGTGGTGGCTAACTGAATTTGTTAAACTACGGAGAGAGATAGGTTGTTTGTTTGCTTTTTTTTTTTTTTTTTTTTTTAAGAAATAGGTTCCTGTGGTGGCCTTTCAGATCATTTAAACGAACTCCATCCTTCATATATCAGTGTTTTCTTTTCTTGATGAATGGAACTTCTTCATTTTATAGGTCACCCAGAGAGGCTCCTTCTTGGGAAAAGCTGGCGAGAGGGCAGTAGAAGTTCTTGACTCACTTGGAAGTAGCATGCCAAAATTGAATACCAGTACTGGGTTTTCCTCTAGCATTCCTTCTAGAGGGAATAAAATATCTATATTGGCGTTTGAAGTAGCTAATACAATAACCAAAGGAGCACTTTTATTTCAATCACTTTCAGAAGAGAACATTCAGATCCTTAAAAAAGAGATTTTACAATCTGAAGGGTTGCAACACCTAGTTTCCACTGATATGAAGGAGTTATTAAGTCTTGCTGAAGCTGACAAAAGGTTATTGCTTGTCCGGAGAATACATTTTTACCCCTAGGAGCTTAAATTGCTTATATGCCTTGTATGAAATTTTGTTTCCCTTTCATGTTGTATTTCTCTGATTTTTTGGGGCAATTCACAGGGAAGAATTTAATGTCTTCTCACGGGAAGTAGCTAGATTTGGGGATGCATGTAAGGATCCCCAATGGCACAACCTCGATCGATATTTCTCAAGGTGAGATTACTTTTATGTGACGACTTATGACAATTATTTGCTGACTCACTTTGATTTAACTCTTAAATGACTTCAAATATATCAGATTGGATTTGGAAGCCTTCAGTGGCAAACAACCTAGGGCAGATGCAGAAAAGACAATGCAGGAGTTGACCACTCTAGCACAGCATACCGCTGTAAGCTCATTTTAGTTTTAAATAAAGCCTCGCATTACCTTTTATCTGCTTGGAGAGCTGATGATTGAGCATAGCCAGTTTTGTAATTTTGGTTTTCCTACATGTATGCTGTGCAATGTTGTTTTCTCTGATCTTTTGAGATGATACATCTGCTATTAAAAAGATACAGCTGTAATTATGTTTCTTGAAGTGCTTGACCATCTGATTTGATGCTTGTATGTTTTTGCTAATCAACTAGTAGTTCCTATGTGAAAGAACTAACTCCCTCCATTCTCAATAGGAATTATACCATGAATTAAATGCTTTTGACCGGTTTGAACAAGATTATCGACAGAAGATTAAGGAAATGGAGTCCTTAAATCTTCCCCTGAAAGGTCAGAAACAACAATATTGTTTTCTCAATTCATTCCCTTGAGTTTCTATATCTTTGCCGTTGATGATTTTAGACTTGATCATGCTTTAGGATTATGACTCTCCTTTATGTTAAACAATAAGGTGACATAAATTTTATACCGTAACCACACTATCTTGAAATCAAGAAATGGTTTCAAATGATTACTGCTGATTTTTAATCTTAAAAAATATGCGATCTCCGGGGCACCCAAAAATTGTAATGTTTTGCAGGGTAGAGTAATTCAGATAATCACTGCTGATTGAGGATCAACTTCTATGTAATTGCAGGGGAGAGTATCACAATTTTTCAGAGTGAGCTCAAGCATCAAAAAAAGATTGTAAGGAGCTTGAAAAACAAGTCTTTTTGGTCTCGAAATTTGGAGGAGGTATATTTTAATCCACATATAAATTTAGGAAATCTGTAGGAAATACTATTTCATAGTTTTTTTTTTTTCCATTTTTCCTGGCTAAAGTAATTCCTGGTATTTCCCTGCCTAAATGATATTTTTGTTGATATTTCATATCTGTTTTAGAAGTGAAATTTTTATTGGTTTTTTCACTTTAGCAAGCCTATTGTCTTATTCTATTGGATTTTCTTTTTTCAGATAGTTGAAAAGCTCGTTGATATTGTGATCTATATGCATCAAGCAATTTCTGAGTTACTTGGAAATTATGGTATGAGAGCACATCTCATATGTATGACAATTCATTGGCAACATTTCCCATTTTCCTGTATGGAAGGGTCTAGTTAGATTAGACTCTGCAGTTTGAACCTGCTTTATTAATTGATCGCCTCCTCTTGCTATGGCAAGATTCTCCATAAAGAGAATTCACATATATTTGATCGTATAAATGCTTTTCATGTTATTTAGAATAAAACAACATTTTCCTGTGTGAGCTTGCATGAAATGAGAGACACCATGTGTGCATTTACTGGAGGAAACTCCTGGGTAAATAAATGATAGGATCCAAGATAGGTAGAAGGAAATAAGGAAGAAGGGCCTATTTGGCAACATGTTCTATGAACAGTTTTCTGTTCTTTAGAACAAAACAACAACAACAATAAGCCTTTATCTCACTAGGTGGGGTCGGCTACATGGATTGCAAGACGCCATTGTGCTCTATCATTTATCAAGCTTTTAGGAATATTATTAATTAAGAGATCGCGTTCAACAACTTCCAAGAGTGTTCTCTTAGGCCTTCCTCTACCTCTCTTAATCAGACTCAAAGTTATATGTTCCACTCTTCTCATTGGTGCCTCCCTTGGTCTTCTTTGTACATGCCCAAACTATCTCAACCGATTTTCTACGATTTTTTCCTCAATAGGTGCCACCCTCACTTTTTCGCGTACGTGTTCATTTCGAATTTTATCTTTACATGTATGTCCGCACATCCATCGTAACATTCTCATCTCTGCTACTCCAACTTTATGCTCTTGCTGTCCCGTTAGAGCCCAACATTCACTACTATATAACATTACCGGTCTGATAGCAGTGCGATAAAACTTTCCTTTAAGTTTATTAGGCACCTTACGGTCGCAAATAACTCTTTTAGCTTTTCTCCAATTAAACCACCCAACTTGAATTCTATATGAAATATCTCCACTGATTTCGCCATCATTTTGAATAGTGGTTTCCAAATATCTAAACTTTTCCACTTGAGGTATAATTTGATCTCCCAATTTCACTTCCAAATTATTGTCGAATATTCCTTTACCAAATTTACAATATAAATATTCCGTCTTACTTTTACTCAGACGAAAACCTTTCGACTCCAATGTCCTCCTTCATAACTCAAGTTTGCAATTAACCTCTTCTCTTGTCTCTGCTATAAGAACTATATCATCCGCGAAGAGCATACATTTCGGGATTTCCTCTTGAATATGTTCCGTCAAAACATTTAAAATCAAGTTGAACAAATAAGGACTCAGAGATGATCCCTGATGTAGTCAATCTTTATAGAAAAATCCTTTGTTTGACCACTAGGCGTTCTTATACTAGTTTTTACCCCCTCATACATATCTTGTATGGCTTTAATATAAGCAATCCGTACTCCTTTTTTTTCCAACGCTTTTCAAAACATTTCTTGGTATACGGTCATAAGCTTTTTCCAAATCAATAAAAACCATGTGTAGATCTTTATCTTTACAACGATACTTTTCCATTAATCCCCTTAGTAGATAAATCGCCTCTGTAGTTGATCTACCTGGCATAAAACTAAATTGATTCTCAGAAATACTTGTCTCCAATCTCAACCTGTGCTCAATTACTTTCTCCCATAATTTCATTGTGTGGCTCATGAGTTTAATCCCTCTATAGTTAGTACAATTCTGAATATCTCCTTTATTTTTATAAATAGGAATTAATTTACTTCTCCTCCACTCATCAGGCATTTTCTTGGACCGTAAAATCACATTAAATAACTTAGTTAACCATCTCACCCCTTCTTTACCTAAACATTTCCACGCTTCGATAGATATACAATCAGGTCCATTGGCTCTACCATTTGCCATTTTCTTAAGAGCTTCCTTTACCTCCTTATCACGTATTATTCGATAAAATGACAAATTTTGTTCTCCTTCACCAGTTACTAAATCCTCCAAGTTACTAGATGAATCCTCTCCATCATTGAAAAGTTTAGAAAAGTAAGTCTCCCATCTATTTTTAATTTCATCATCTGTAACTAAAATTCTTCCCTCTTCATCCTTAATACACCTTACCTGTTCTAGATCTCTTGATTTTCTTTCCCTACTCTTGGCAATCTTATAAATATTTTGCTCTCCTTCCTTCGTCTCAAGGTTCTTATAAAATTCTTCAAAAGCTTTAGAACGAGCTTCACCCACAGCTCTCTTAGTTTCTTCTTAGCCATACGTACCTCTGCCAATTTGTTCTTTAGAACAAAAGAACAAAAAAATCTGTTTGGTAACGTATTTTTAAAAAGTGTTTTAGAGAACAAAAAAACAAAATATTGCTCTGAATAATAGAAAAATGGAAACAAATTTCAGGTGTTTTGGGATTATTGTTCTGGAGAATAAGGAAGAGTGAGAAAAGCACCTATTTTTATTATTTTTCTGTTCTCAAAACATGTTTTATGAAATACCAGTTTTGAGAATAATAAAATAAAAACATTTTCAAATAACCCCTAAATATTTATCAAAATATGAAATCAGAATCTAACTTCATAAATTAATAAAGATAAAGGGAAATCTTTAATAGAAGATGAGCAAGAATCTTAAACTCATACAATTAATAAAGCCAAAGTGGAATCTCCATAACAAAATGATTTTATTTCTAGATGATTTCTACATGTTGTGCCTCAATATTTATACAAAAAAAAAAAGAACTAATAATTCCTAGAAAATACTCTACTAATCCATAACTCAGATAATAGGGAATAACTACTTGAAAAATAGATAAAATGACTAACTAAATATAGAACTACCCACTACCAAAGTTTAAGGACCACCCAACAAAAAATAAAATAACCTAAATAATAAATAGAAAATAGAAAATATCTAAAATAACGTAAAATAATATTTATTTCTAATATATCTTTAACTCCCCAAATCATCCACTATCCCACACTACTCTGTATTCTATCAAAAAACTTGCTACTTCCTATTTCTGCAAAATTTCTTTCTAGAGGCTCCCAATGAAAAGTCTTTATGACCCCTCATTTTTTGACAAAATCAATGTTAAACTGTGTAATGCTCATTGCTAAATGTCTTCTGTGGTTCTATTTTAGGGATCATCTGCTGTAATGTTGTGACTTGGGACTATTTGCCCTCTAAAGCAATTGTGGCATTTGTTTTATCACTCTGATCAATAATATTTGAGGGATCAATCATACAACTAACTGAAATCCTACATAAATAAGCCAGTCTCTGTTCCTGTCTGTTCAAACTTGTTTGAAAATTCTGTTTCGATCAATCCAGTAACTACAATGTACATCTCGTTAGAAGATCAAGAGAACATCTAGAGATTATTCTTCTGAAAATTTTTCCATCTTATTATCACTCTTAAATTTTCTATGAAAATGTGAATTTATGGCAGGTACATCTGTTGCTGCTGTCAATAACGGTAAGGGTCCTCAAAGACTTGGTGATGCTGGTCTTGCACTGCACTATGCTAATATTACCAGTCAGATAAATGTGATTGTAAGTTTTGGGTGGGGAAAATATGTAATTTTACTGTGTAGTATGATGCTAATATGGTACAAACCTTGATAAAAAAGTTGATTTCTATTAGGCATCTCGCCCAACTTTTGTTCAGCCTAATACGAGGGACACATTATATCACGCGTTACCCAATAATATCAAGGCTTCTCTTCCATCCCGGTTGCAAATTATTGATTCCAAGGAGGTATGTCCTTTCTACGTTTGATTAATTTGTTTCTTTTGTCTTACGTGCTTAATATTATATTTCCCCCCTTTCCTGGTTGGAATATGCTAAATGCCTATTATCTGTAGATCCCCATTGCTCAGGTCAAAGCTGAAATTGACAAAACTCTTCAATGGCTTGTTCCACTAGCTACAAATACAATCAAGTAAGACATGGAGGATTTTTGTTTGAAAAGTCCACTTTTTTATTTTATACTTTGGTGTACTACACTTGCTTTAATTTATTTGGTGAGAAAAAATTGAATGTCTTGGCATATGATATTTTCTTGTATTGCTATTGGTTCAGAGCACATCAAGGTTTTGGATGGGTTGGTGAATGGGCAAATAAAAGGTTGGTCATGAGTCCTTGACCCAGGCGTGTAAGATTGTTTGAACAACGTTTGGGAATTGAGATTATTGTGTTATTGTGTGCAGTAATGAGTTTGGAGATGATCCAGTCAGAGAAAGTAATGTAATCCGCCTCCAGACTCTTCACTATGCGGATAAACAGATGATGGATGTCCACCTTCTTGAATTATTAACTCTGCTGCACCAGTTGATGAGTATTGGAAGATACAGACAGGATGCCATGAAGCCAATGGCCAATCGATCTCCTCTGAAGGGGCTTGATTTCCAGTCGAAAATACAGCATTGGATATCTATAGACGGTAGTAGGAAAACGATGGGAATGAAACTATCTCAAGAGGATAGGAGTTTGTTAGAGGAGGTGATGGCGAGGAAGAGGACTCCAGGAGTCAGCAGAAGCGAGGATTTAGCGTTGGCCAGCAAAAAAGAAGGTTTAGGCAGAGGTTGGCGGTCCAGCAGGAGCGTTGGAAGTTCGCCCAATAATGACTCGGATACCAGACTGCGCTGGGACCTCCAGAGCTCTACCTGTTTGGATATTTTGGATGGCTTGACATTTTGAAAGCTTTCCTCTTCCAACTCTTTTCTAGTCCTCTTTCTTCTAGCCTTCAACGAAATTCTTTCTATAGCTAATATTGATTATTCCTGTACATATCTATATAGGCATAGGCATAGGCATATCTATCAATGCCCACAAATTTTTTTTCTCTCCAGAGAATAGTTGAATTGGGGATACTAAAATTATACATACCTATTTTTCTTTTTATGATTTATGTATTCCTTTAAATATGCTAGTTTTCTCAATATAATATGAAAAAGGAACTGGATTGGTTGAAATTAAAATTCCAGTGGGAGGTTGGAACATTTGAAAAGATGGTCCAAGGCCGCCCTCGCGGGGCTTTCCGTTTTCAAAGACTGGCTGCTGTCCTTGGAATTTAATTTGCTTGCCTTTACAAATTCCTGGTTTAATTACAACATAATATTGTCTTGACACATTTTCTACCGAGCCGCTGCGAGGACAGGAGCTGCTCCCCACTTTCGCCAAGCTTCCAAATGCCCAATCACGTCATTTCCATTTCCTTATCTTTTTTATGGTTATCGGGGATCCCGGAAGTTGTGTTCAGGGCTGAGCTTGCTTATGCGTCTGATACCGATTGATTGCTTATCAGTTAAATCCAGATGCATGACCCAAATCAGCTAGCACAGCGGGATGGATGGCCAGACAATATTCGCAGGACAGGTTTTAATTTCATAGGGCACGGGAGAATGAGCGGATTCTCTCTTGTACGGTTCTGTTCTTTCTTTTCCCCGTTGCTGTCGACTCTCTTGCCTTCCTTGAGAGGATTCTGTTTGCTTGCATTTCAGACTTGTAATAGATTCCTGCCAGTAAATTGTTGGTATCTTCTTTGTTTTCGCTTTGTGAGTAATTATTATTACGATGTTTTGTTTAAGGTAAATGCAGAGAATCAGATCTGAATTGTTTTGTGCAGGGCAAACCGTGGTGGTCAAATTCCTTGAAAGTGATTTTTGTTCTGCGCTGGGTAAATTGGAGGCACCTCGTGATGCATAGTTGTTTGATAGATCCAATGGGTGACTTAAATTTCAAAAATTGCATTCGATCATCCTAGAATTCGTGGGTGTTTATGTGCCAAATATCGCGACAAAGTGTTGAGTTTAGTTAGATGAATAAATTCAGGAAAATGATGATTGATGGAATACTGCCAAAATATTAGTAAAACGGGGCAGTTCTGAACTGCATGTTGTGACACTGCGTTGGTCTGGGTTGTCCAGCATAGTGCTTTTCTTCCCGAAGTTGGGGTATCCTATAAAACAAGTTTGGGGTATGAAAGGATATATTTTAATACTATAAAGAGGCAAAGGGCACTCTAATATGATTGAAATCCCGTGATAAACTTAGGCCAATTCTTTTGCAGAGCTGGTTCATCCTATGAACTCTGATATTATGGAAATCCAGTGATAAACTTGGGCCGATTCTTGTGCAGAGCTAGTTCATCCTGTGTGTCTTCACAGTCATATTCCCTTTGTTTATATATGTAAAAAAAAAAAATGTATCATACAGTTTAAAAAAATCAATTAACAATAATAATTATCTTTAAAAATAATTTTTGTACTAAAATATCCTTAAATTTAATCAAAATAAGATTGCATTAATTGTTTCTCATAAATGAAAATTATAAGTTGATGAAAGATAACTGAATAAAATTATAATAAATGTGTATTGAAATATATGATTTTATTTATAAATTAGAACAAAACAAGTGATAGTTTCTCTTCATAGAAACAGACGGAGTAATTCGTAAGAGGTTCGCATGGGGGGAGGTTATGTCTGGTCAATGAGGGTTGGAAGTAGCCAAAGGTATTTTTTATCACTCTCAAGTATCTTTTTATTGAATGTTATTCTGTTTGAGGCATAATTTGCTGCTTTTTGCTTGGCAGAAAGCGAATGGGGATTTGTGTTGCTCAGAGTACGAAACTTCGAAACTTCTTGGACTTTATAAACGGGTCGGACCTTTCATAAACTAATGCTTTGTTTGGATTAAAAAAAAAGTAAGAGGAGAGAAAATGTGAGGGGAAAATAAGGGAAAAAATAAATTTGTTCCTATTTGGACGAAAAAGAAAAAATGTGAGAAGAAAAACTATGAAAAAAAAGAGAGATGTATGCTCCCACATTTTTTACCCAAATTTTCTCATATATGGAGATATTTTGGGAGAAAATTTGTTGTTCCACTTGTATTTTTCTTCAACTAAGTGCAAAGTCCGAAGCCTGCCCTATTTAATTTTAATTGATTATCTCCTTTTAATATTTTAAATAGATAAATAATATATTTTGATGAAGTTAATTTTAATATAATTTTTTCTTTAATTTTTTATAAAAAATAATGATATGAAACATAATATCTTTTGACTTAAGAGTATTGTCAGTTTTAAATATAAAAGAAAACAATCAACTCAAATAGTTTAACAAAGTTAGTTAAATATAACAATTATATCTAAATTATTACTGTAATTAATTAAATAAATTTTTCTAGCAAAAATAAATGTTAAATTTATGAGGAACAATTTGAAACACATCTAACAAAAATTTTAAAACATATTTTATAAACATAATTTTTAAAAATTATTTTTTCAAAACAGAATGAAATGAAAATTTGTTTGGTTATGTTCATTTTAAAAAGTTTTAGAACTTAAAAATCAGCTAATAATGACGGTTGTTGGCAGCTAATGATGGTGGCTTATTGTAGTAACTAAATCAAGCTAAAAAAATAAAACGAAAATTTTATTTTTGGTGTTTAAAAATAAGAACAAGAATAATTTTAGAAACAATGAAATGCAAAACACTTATCTAAATGAATTTTAAATTTTGTTTATTTTAAAACATAAAAAACAGTTTTTAAAAACAAAAAATAATCTGGCCAACAGAAACTCAAATAATTCTCGACACCATTATCAGGAGTGATTAATGAGGACGGTAGATAAGATACTTTGAAGTCACTTTCTCGTTAATCAAAAGGACAGCTGTTCATCATGGCGTAATTCGATTACGCTTTAGTCTTGGATATCAAGGTCCCTTTTGTGTTTATGATTTTGATTTCACTACTTCCCTCGTGCGATACTCATGAAGATATTTCCTGTTGCTTAATCGAAAACCTCTTGAAACTGACGCTGCAGTTAATTATTGGAAACCATGACTTCAAAGAGGATTGAACCATGCGTATATACTAGCTGGTGTTAAATTTGCATGTTTTTATGCTCTGCAGCACCAGAGAAATAGGGACCTTTTGCTCTTATCAAACGAATTCCTCAAACATGAAGTGTGAAAATGATACAGACGATTGCTTGCACGCATGTAAATATGAAAGACTCTGTCATCGACATACGTGGCTTGAAAAGGTGGGAATAGCAGAGGTATAGGAGTTTGAAGAGTCGAGAAAGGCTGCTGCAAGTTGAACAGCACAAGGGAATCAATTGGGTGCTACGAGTAGCTGCAACATCAGAAGCACGGAAATAATACATGTTACGTTGCTATCAATCCCCAACCCCGAATGGAAGATATTTTGATTAATTGGTAATCATCTTTTTGGACTGGCCTACTTTTCAGTGCCATTGAGTTTGGACAATGTTTTAGAATTAAATACGCTCCAGCTAAAACGGTTGACGAAGCGATTTCGCCGCCAGATTGGAGGCAGCGCGGGCTTACTTCGATTGTGAGCTGTGGCGGACGTGACCGCACGAACCAGCCAGCCAGCCAGCCAACCAGGGACTAGGAACTATAATGGAATTAGTCAGGGGAGGTGAACGTAAAATAAATAAATAAATAAATAAAACGTGTAGGAAGTGAAAAGCTACCCAATTTAGACCCGGTTGCTTCTTAATTAATTACCAGGTTCGACCACGTGGGTTCCGTGTTGACAACCTTCCGGGCACATCCGGTATCCCTTCCTCATAATTCTGAATTTTCCCTTGCCAACGTGGAAAAAAATAATTATTATTATTTGGACTTTCTTGTTAATGGGTTAGTTTTTGACCCGTACAATATTTAGACACTCTTTATTAAAAAAAATGTTAAATAAGCTTGACTTGTGAGTGAGAAAATGATTTGGCAAAATTGAGAGGTATGAGAAAACTTGAAAAATGTGACAATTGTATTGCATTAAGAACTTAAGGATGATTATAAATGAAGAGAGTACCTTTCCTTATATTCAGAATGTCCTCACCTCTTTAATGGACGGTGGAGATTAATTTGTTCTTATGATTATTGTTGATTTTCTAGAATTCTCTATAAGATACTTTATAACAAATATCTAAATGTTTACAATGAGTTCTATAGAATGTATTTTAAAATATTTATGCTAAAGTTGTCTAGGTTTCTCTAGAGTTGTTTTGTATACTCTAGCCTTTTCAAGGTTGTTCATCTGACTTTTGGAGGATTCTGAAACGTTCCAGACCATCATAACTTCTTAAAAATCATAAAATGTGACATTTCTCTCCCACTTAATTTTGTGATGCCCTTATTGTGCCTTCCTCCTTGTAGTACTCAATATTAGCGGTAAATTGCCACAGGAGGTCTTCACATTCTTAACTCGCTTTAAAGTTGGCTTTTCCTTTCCCTTTGAATCAGTACTTAGCGTAGTTGGGAACTTCTTTCTTTCAAATCACCATCTTAGCAAGGATTTCTTTTATTTTCTTGTTGTACTCAGTGATAACTACTATGGGTGCTCTCTTGGAAATACTTCATAATAAAGCTTCTTCATCCTCATAGTATTTCTTTAAGAGACTAACATGAATGACTGGATGAATCTTAAGCTTAGGAGGAAGTTATACTTAATAAGCAACCTTTCCCACACGTTTGATAAGGGAAAAAGGCATTCTATATCTCCTTATCAAGCCTTTGTGCACTTTGTATAGTGACTTGAATTGATTCAGTAATAATTTTACCATCACTAAGTCACCAATGTGAAATTCAATGGGATGCTGCTTTTTCTCTACCCACTTCTTCATCCTTCAAGAGGCTTAATCCAAGCTTGCTCCAATGATGTTTTCTTCTTCTTGCCATTCTTTGGCAAACTTATATGCCATTGGATTGTCTCCCTTGTTTGGAGCGGCAAGTGTATTAAAGGTTAGAGGCTATTGTTTGGTAACTATTTCAAATGGGTTCTTACCTATTGACTAACTTCGTTGCAAGTTATAAAAGAATTGAGCCATAACAAACAACTTAGCCCAACCTTGTTGATAAGCACTCACATA